CCCCCCACCACCACCACCGTGTCTCTCTCTCTCTCTCTCTCTTTCAGTCATGTAAGGATACTGTGAGAAGGTATGCATCTGAAAACCAGGAAGAGGTTCTTCACCAGAAACTCTTTGATCTTAGACTTCCAGCTGCCACAATTTTGAGGAATAAATTTCTGTCGTTTAAGTCACTCATTCTGTGGGATTTTTGTTATAGCAGCCCAAACAAAGACAGAAATTGATACCAAGGGTGAGGTGCTATTATAACAAATATCTATTTCAATAGATATTGAGAATTGATAGTGGCTTGGACCAACTTAGTGACAGAAAAGGTGACAATAGGAAGCTGGCAAAATTTAGATTTATTCTGAAGATAGGTGTGATGAGACTTGCTGAAGAATCAGACATGGAGTGTGAATAAGAAAGAGAATGAAGGATGATACCGAGATTTTTGACATGATCAACTAGAAGAATGGAATTAGCATTAAATGAGATGAGAGAAAGTGCAGGAGGATTTTGTGGGAATACCAGGAGCTCAGTTGTAGACACTTGAGTTTGACATGACTGCTGTAGATCCACATAAAGATGTCCAGTAGGTAGTAAGATATGAGGGCAGACACTTAAGTTCATAAACTCATCCTAGAAAAAGTACTCCATACCTTCTTGCTGAATATCACTACCATCACCTTCGACATATTCCCCTTGGGAAGCTACACACCGCCAGTGCCTAGTCCACCCATCAAAGCAATTTTGGAACTCTTTTTCTGGAATGACCATAATAGATATCATATTACCTTTGATGCTCTGAATGTCATCAAACGTCTTCCTTTCAGTATTTCCTTTATCTTTGGGTAAAGAAAAAAGTGACTGGGGGTCAGATCAGGTGAGTAGGGAGAGTGTTCCAACAGTTATTTGTACGGTGCTGCCAATGTAAGCACAGAGTAGCAAATTTGTGAACTTAATTGTCAGACCCCAACAAATAATGATGACAACTCTGATAGCTGTTGCAGAAAACGAGTTCTAAAATTTCTTTGATGGGTGGACTGGGCACTGGCATTGGTGCATAGCTTCCCAAGGGTACTTCGAAGGTGACTATAGTGATATGCAGCAATGAGGTATGGAGCACTTTTTCTAGGATGGTTCTCAAACCTAATTGTCAGACCTTGTGTGCCGGCCTTGAGCTCTGGGAAGAGATTCAGGGAGATATAGAAATGTAGACGTCATCAGCATGTAGACCATACTTAAAACCATGAAACTAAATGAGATCACCAAGAGAGTGAATTTAGACAGAAAGGAGATTCTTGGACTGAGTCCTGAGACAATCCAATATTTGAAAGCTAAAGAGGTGAGGAGAAACAGCAAACGAGACTAGCTAGAAAGGTAAGATAAAACTTAGGCATGTGTAATGTCCTGGAAGCCAAGAGAAGAGCTGGTTCAAAGAGAAAGAGAACTGTGACCAATGCCGCTGATTGGTCAAGTAAGATAAGACTGACCACTTAACTCCCACTGCCCACTCACTGCTGACCTTAATGAGTGGTTTCAGTGAAACAGATTCAAGAGACAAGAGAGAAATTGGAGACCATGAACACCATACGAACATTTAAGGAGTTTTGCTGTAAATGGAAGGAAAGAAAGAGGACAGGAGTTAAAATTTTGAGTTACCTTTTTTAAGATGGAATAAGTGAACTGAATATCACATATCTTACTAATAAAGATATTTAAGTCATGCATAAAATTTTTTAAATACAGAGGGTGTCAAAAAAGTATACATTTTTAGAAAGGAAAAACCTATTAAAGTTGTTATACTCAATATATACTGATAATAAAAGATGAATACAAGTCATGTTTGACTTCTGCAATTACAAGAGGTATTCAAAGTGGTTACCATCAGCGTCCGGACACTGCAAACATCTCTTAAAATGTGTGTGTGTGTGTGTGTGTGTGTGTGTGTGTGTGTGTGTGTGTGTTTGTGTGTGTATTTAGCACCCCCAGTATGTTTTAGAAACTAGTTCTGAATTTTGTCTGAAAATCACGTCTTCTCTGAATTAAGAGTGAAAACTTAGGTTTCATAAACTCTTTGCATAAACTGGCAAAAAAAAGCTAATTAGGGCTGGGTGCAGTGGCTCATGCCTGTAATCCCAGCACTTTGGGAGGCGCGGGCAAGAGGATTGCCTGAGCCCAGGAGTTTGACACCAGCCTGGGCAACTTGGCAAGACCTCATCTCTACAATAAATCAAAAAATAAGCCAGGTGTGGTGGCTTGCATCTGTAGTTCCAGCTACTTGGAAGACTGAAGTGGAAGGATCACCTGAGCTCGGTAGGTCAAAGCTATAGTAGTCATGAATGTGCCACTGCACTCCAGCCTGAGTGACAGAGTTAGACTCAACTAAAAAAACACACACACACACACAAACCTTATGAGGGGTGCTCAGCATGATATGGAATGGTCTGGCTTCTGGGATATTGTGTAACAGACTTTTAAATAATTCCCTCCCTATGTCCACTATCCCACCACCCCAGGTTGAAACCTCTACTTATCAGAATCTTCAAATTTATATACATAAGTGTGCGCAGCCCTAATCCGTAGGACATAACCATGCTTAGGACAATGCTGTGTTTGTTGAGACCCTTGATGACATCTGGAAATGAACTTGGGAAAAATTTTCAAGACTCCAAAGATATTTGAGGTCAATAATTTTTTTTTCTCAAATTGAGTTTCAGGGCCAAATAATGCAAAATGCCAGGACATTCAAGGACATATGCTGCTATTAAAATACTTAGAAATATACTGCAGTTGCCTTACTGTAATTTTTCATCTAGTTCTACAACTTTCTTCTTTAATTCCTGGTTCTCATTGATTGCAGCGTGAGCTGTGATTTCTGTTCTGATTTTAGCAGTGGAGAGTGCTGTGGATTCTTCTTCTAGCTCCTGAACTCTGTCTCTCAAGGAAGTGAGCAGAGATGATTTTCTGGCATTGTTTTCCTTGTAGCTTTCCATTTCAGCTTTCAACTCTTGACAGGAGACTTCTTTAGAAAGCATCTTGGACCGGAGGTCTCGAAGCTAACATGGAAAAGAAATTAAAGAAAAAAGAACTTGACAGCATACATACCTTGTACAGTATACATACTTAAGTATACATACCTAAGTACCTTTATACATACCTAAGTACTTTTAAGAAACCCAAAACCATAATTGAAAATTTCCCTTTTATGTATGACTTAATGTATATTAATATATGTATATGTATGTATTACCAAAGGGAAAATGATGCCTAAGTAATAAACTTCTTATTTTATTTTTTTCAAAAACAATTGAGCAATTGATTTAGTCTCACTAAGGAGACATTTACAATGTATATTGCAAAAGCAATAAACTAGTTTGCAATGGTAACCTGTTTCTTTTCTTCTTCTTTTTTT